AGCCTCCTGTCATTTTAACTTCCTGCTCCCACCTGTGGGAATGAGGTGGGGCAGCATAGCATTTAAGGTCTGGGGCACTTGTGTGGTGGGAGCACCCGAGCAGCACTGCTTAGCATGGGGGGGGGATGCTGGCAGCATGGTGTGGGACACGGCCCACGTGGGTGTGACCGTCACAGCCTCTGACTACTTAAAAGTTAAAAAGCCCTATCTTAGCAGAAACGGAATCTGATGCGATGTTTGGTTGGATAATTATTGCATAATTAACTGGTTAATTGTGCAATAAATTTAGATCAGCCTCACGTGCAAAGTAATTATCACACAATAAAAATGACTATCCAACTATAAGAAGAGCCAGACAGCTATAAAGTTAGTGCTTGAAAATGTGTAATAACTCTATAGCTGGTCTTTATCGTGTTTTAATTTGAGCATGTAGCCAGGACCCTTTCTATACAGTTCTGCTTGAAATTTGGTATTGCTGGATTTTTTTGGTTCATTTGTTTAAAAGGACTGACTGAAGTCACTGAACTTAACTTCCTTTTCTTAAAAAAAGATCCTATGTAGTAAAACCAGAAACTTGAGAAGTTCTTCCCTGAATGCTTGGTGAGGGCAAGAACCAAAGATATTTTTATTTCTCCATTGATATGTTCTAGTAAACTAGTCTTCAGGATTGGCCTGGCCATAATCTAGTCACCAGCTTTTTTACTTTTCATTCCATCCAGCAAGAGCCCACATCAACTGCTGAAACTTCCTTAGCCTGACAAAGGGTTTTTGAACCTGAAAGCTTGCTTAAAAATTGTTTTCTAACTGTTTAGTTGGTCTAATAAAAGATATCAGATTCACCCAAAGAACCTTGTCTGCCTATATATTATACGAAGTATGTATCATACAAATGTTAACCAGGTTAACGTACCCATATATCTTTCAGTTAAATTCAAATGTCTCCAAGGTAAACATTAAGCTGTTAACTAGTATATTAATTTTTAGTCTTAGTGAGACCTGCCAAACTAGAAATTGTACAATACAGTGATAAGGTCCGATTATATTATGGAGAGACCTGACATTTTGCCATTGATTTCAGTGGGAGCAAGATTTCTCTGGCTCTTTTCGTTTTATTATATTAAAAAATACCCAACATTTTTTCAGCTGATTCAAAATTAAAAGTTTTTCATTTTGATATATTTTGTGTGTTGGATATCCAAAAACGCGTATATTTTGTACTGCTACCTGGAGGCCAAATAAAGAGCTTTAAAAATTCAGATCTGTCTAAAAATGAATTTTGGCTTCAAAATGAAAAGTTGAGTGCAAACCTATAGTTTGTCCTTATTCTTTTTACATTCTGTTTAAGTCTCCTATTTTTCTATTTCTGGAAACTCTTTATCTAAAAATTACAATGCAGTTTCATTCTCTTCCCTCCAGTTCACAAATTGTAGAGCCTCTAGCTTGTTTTCTAGTTCACATATTGTACAGCCTCTACCTTGTCTTTGCAATAATTCTGCTCTGCTATTTACAGTTCTTTTGTGCTTTAGGAACACATTTTCCCATTTGCAACAGTATAAAACTGTGATTCTGAAGGAGTGATTTGTTTGCTCTGATTCTTTCGTGTACTTAGTTATCCATTTCATTTTCCAAGAATCTACTTCACAACTCCACCTCTGCTAGGTTCTTGCTGTGCTGCTTCAGAATTTTTTTCCCAGGGCTTTAGGTCTGGCTTCCTAAGTGTCTCATCTAGGGAATGGCTCTGAGGGTCCTGGCAGACATTGCAGTTATGGCACAATTAGTGCATTCATCACACCAACATAACAGATAATTTATGGTGCCATTAATGGCAAACAAGCCTCAAAGATATTTCACATAAAATGTATGACATAAAGATACTCCATATTATGTGGAACATCTCTATGATTGGTTTGTATGAAACCATAGTTTGAATGTGTGGCATGTCTCAGATCTGGGGCTACCTTGTTTGGATGCTGACAATCAGCTTATCATTAGCCTGGCGATGAGGTAGCCCTAGGTCTGGGACTGGGTGGGGAGCCCTGAGGCTCCCTGTAACCAGGCACTTTAAGGAGTCTTGCCTGCAGTTCCTTGCAGGCAGCAGTGCAAGGCAGCAAATCTGGGAAGGCCTGCATTTGGGATTAGGCAGAGGGCAGCCTTAGGTCTCATTTTGGGACCTGGGACTGCGTTCTGTCTAATTTTAGGGATAGGCCATGGGGTGGCTGCATTCCAGACCCAGGATCCTGACAGTCAGCTGATCATCAGGTTGGCATGGGGCAGTTCTGGCAGCTAGAAGTTGAGCTGTTTGGGTCTGGGAAATGTTATGTCCTCCCCAAAATAGCATAACCTGACATGCACATGTGGGATGGTTGGTCACACAATTTTGGGATGGGGCGTGAAATTCCTCACACCTCAGTTGTGCAACTGCCTTAATGTCTGCCAGTAGCCTGATGCTTTAATTCTCATGTATTCTGGTAGTGTGAACAGGCCTTTGGGCAAAAACTATATTTCATTAGTTTTTGCTGTTTTGGGGAGTTGTGCAGTGCCTGGTGTTGTCAGTGCTGTGAATGGTCAATGTTCTGTTCCCCTTACATGGATCTTCTTCTCTCAGGTAGCTTTTGACAGCAATATGAACTCTCAGCATGCAGGGACTCATTGTGCTTTGACTGTGCCAAAGGGGTGATAGGACTATGAAATCAAATTTTGGACAGTTAGATCTTCAGGTTATTCTGTTAACTTAGATTTAGGTCCCCTTTATATATGCGGGCAAAGGCACGATGGAATCTAATGCATGATTCACAACAGTCGTACCTCCTGACATACCACACATGCATACCACGTGCACTCTAGTTGAGGGGCTCCCAGCAGCAGGGAAGACCTTGCTGCACGTGTAAATTAAAGCTGGATAGCAATTGACTATAAGCACACATTTTTGAGGTCTAACTACATAGCTGGTTGGAGACTTTTAGTGTGATATAGCTACTTTGCACGTGTAGCTGGTCTCTAGGTAATTGTGCAGTTAACCAGTTAATTGTACAATACCTGTAATGTGTAGAGGGGGTCTCATAGACACAAAATTTTGCCAAGGGTGTCATGAAATCTACAGCATGTCTCCCAGCGCTGCACCCTATTTATGGATATGGATTAGTTAAAGAGTGTCAAATCCATTAGACAGGCAGCTTTCTATTGACCGTGCATCAGAGGAAGCTCATTTACCCTGTTTGTTCTTAGTACATGGAATATATTGTGTTAATGAATGGTGCTCCTGAAATGTTAGGTTCAGCCTGCAGGGTGTGAGTATAACTGGTCTATTTGTTAGGATTAAAACTATACCCTGCTTGCATTTTCCTTCTTAGCAGACACATTAGAGAACCCTGTCCCATATAATAATCTTACAGAAAGACAGTACAAGTCTAGAAGAGCAATAGTTTCATTTCCAGGCTACTCCTAGGTTCAGGTTATTTCACATTTTCATGATGCTGTGCATATTTAGATTTGTAACTAGAAATAAACCATTAGTAATGCACTGTAAGTGCGAGTGATAATGGGTTTTGTTTCAAATATGTACATTTAAATCGCACAACTCTGAAAGTGTTGTGTGATATAATAGATTTCATAGACGTTAGGGCTGGAAGGGACCTCAGGAGTTCATTGAGTCCATCCCCCTGCCCCAGGGGCAGGAAGTCAGCTGGGGTCAAAGGATCTTGTGTGATTCTTTCTCTTTTCCCTCTCCCACATGTATGTTTTTGTGGACGTAGACAAATTTTGCCCCCCAAAAATACCTTTGCAACACTCGTTGTCACGGGAAATTAAAAAGTTATATTTGAGGATAGAATTGTGTTCTTGGAGTACAACATAAAAGTGAAGATAAACTTAAGGGCCATACTGTGTTGAGTAAATGGGTTCATCTGCGTGAGGTAGAACACATGTTGAGCTGTGAAGTACCAAAAGGATCTGCAATACTGCCATGGCCCTATTGCCCGGCAGTTGGTTGTATGTAGTCCACAAATGTACATATTTGGTTCTATGTATATATATAGCAACATGCAATGAATAAACCTTCCCTTTGCCTCTATACCATAGAGAGAGAGGTACTAACAGCTCTATGGTGGCCCTCCCCATAGTAGAGTGGAAACCTCTGGCACAGGTATTAAGCCTAACTCTGTATTCTGTCATTGTTATGTTTTAGTCCTCTGACTTTCAGCATAAGTAACACATTTAGCATGTTCTTGAGTTTGCGAGCATTGCCATTCATTCAGCCTTCTGCATAGCCATATTAGTATAGTTCTTGTACCTATGCTCCATTTAAATGAGCTTAATTGAGAAAAATATATAGAACAGTTTTTTTACTGTTTGCCATCGCATTTAGTGAATCACAAGAGCAATAACTGGTTAACTAATATTAGAGCCCATAGCAACATAGTGAAGTAGGGATGGAAGGAGCCTCTGAAAGTCATCTAGTCCAGCCCCCTGCCCGAGGCAAGATCATCCCTATTCAAACCATCCCATGCTGTAGTTGTACAGATGAGGGTAGTGGGTGAGCAAAAAGTAGAGGAAGAAGTGATTTCATAATCAGAATTAGCCAAGATCATGAAAGCTGATTATCAGTAGATTGCTTCGTTCAGCAGGGTTTTCTATTGGGAGGCATATTCAAAACAGATAAATGGTATTTGTTTACTAAAACAGTATCAGTATACTATTAGTTTTTTCTTGTGGTTACGATGCAGTTTAAAAAGACAGTGGGAAATTGAGCCAATGCTTCAGCTGCATGACCAGGTTTATTAGACTTCTTTTATTCAATAGCTTCTCTAAAAAAGTTAAATTACTGATTTTAAGTGAGGAATTTAATAGCTGGTACAATATGTAATCTGAACGGATATAACTGTTAATTTTATTAAACCTTGTTCATAATTGAAGTACAACATGTCATTTAAACATGGTGAAAGAAATGCACAGAGAACAATAATGTAAATAATAGTATTTTATCCCATTTACCTTTTTGACAGGAGAATTAGATGACAGAGAACAGGCAAAGCTGGAAGTAAAAGTGTGGGATCCAGATAGCTCCCTTACAGATCGTCAGATTGACCAGTTTTTAGTTGTAGCACGGTAAGACTAAACTAATCAAGAAAAATTCCTTTTCCACCTTCTTTAACTATTATAGGCTGCTATTTTTCCCCTATATGGCGTTCCATAGTATGTTTGCCATTCTGTGAGCCTTTCTTTTTCCTTCACTTAGAATATAACTTGATACATTTCTATTAAAATATATGGGAAAAGGATATATTTCTGGATTTTGTTCAGACTTCATTTGCAGAGTTTGATGGTAGACATAAACTTTGTCATAAAATTTTAATTCTGATATTCTCCTCTGATTCCACTTCTCCCTTAAAAAAAAAAATAAAGAAGGATTTCATTACTAATGTTTCAGTCCAATACTATGGTGCATGGAATTAAAGACTGTAACATCAAGACTAAAGTTATAATTAAAACCAGTGTACACAAATTGATTGATTGCAGAAGTTGCCATATTTGCATAAGAGTTCAGTTATTTTGAATGAATACTTAAGTAAAAGGCTTGAAAAAATATACCATGGTGATGTGATGCTTTATGTTGTGCTTCCAGAAGGAAAAGTACTGTTCAGTTTACTGTTATAAGCTATCTTAAATTATTGGTGAGATTTCACAGACTTAGCTTTTTTATTTTAATAAATGTTTAGTTTTCTGAAAACTTTGTGCTACCAAAAACAGCAAGCTTCTTCCATTGAAACAACAAATAAATGTTTATAAGCTCCCCATTTCCTTGTCCTAAAATAAATGCTTATAGGAAGTGGTATTGTTCCACCTATCAGGAATTAAGGAAGCAGAGAAAGCAATCAGGGCAAGTGTAAAACTACGAGCTGAATCATTCTGTCAGTGTTTTTAGCTTCTCTATGCCAGTAGCAGAGTGCAGTTCATGGCTTCTTAGTCTAAAACCATTTTTTCCTGTTCCTCCTTGCTCTTGTTTTTTTCTTCTTTTTGGTCAGCATGTCTGGCGAGGGAAAATCAGAGGGAGACAGTGGGGAACTTCTGCTTCCAATTTCACAGCCTGTGCCATAGAAAGAAACAGGCGTTGGATCATTGCTTTCCTCTGAATTCAGATGTCAGCCTACCCAGCATTGATCTGCCTCTAATAGGAAGCGCAGACTGTTCCCGTGTCATAGTTCTAAACTTCTCTGCACTGTATTTTGCTTCCTGAGCAACAGCATGATGTTCTCACCAACAAATACCCTCCCTAGCGTGGGGGAGGCTGAATGCCTCCGGAAGAACCTACGACATTATGTCCTTGAGGAAACCAGAGCTTTTAAAGAATCTAAAAGAGGGTGCTGTACTACTTCCACTAAGCCAGCCTGCAGAGATGCATAGCTGAGCAGCTTGGATGCCTTAAAATAACATTCTGTAGCATCTCCACTAAGCTGACCACATGGGAAACTGATGAAGCACAAGGCTTTGTTGGAACACTTTCTGAAGAGCTCGCTACATCACCCTCAGGTTTTGCCCCTCTTATAAGCCTTCTGAGAAGCTGCAGTAGTGCATGAAGGTATCTAAGTGCTTCTAGAAAAGGACAGTGCATGAAGGTATCTAAGTGCTTCCAGAAAAGGACACACGTGAAAGCTAAAGGAAAAAAGAGCCATTGAGATGCTGAAAAGAAGAGAGGATAAGCTTGTGTATGTCTGCAGAACGTGTCACTTTGCTACTCTTCAAGTGTACCTTGTGGGTCAAATCAGAGTGTCACAGTATTTTCTTAGGACCTGGTAAACCCCTCTCTCTGGAAGATTCCTCTGTGATACGGAATGTGTCTTTTGCATAGCCAGTTGTTCATGTCTATCTGAGACCTTGTAGAATACCAGCCACTGATGTCTGAGTGCCACCTGCCATCCCAAAAGTGGGTACTCCCATTTGCCCAATTAGCTAGGCTGCTTCCCAGCTGGCAAGCCCTCATTCAGGCTTCCTCCATACCCACAGCCCCAAGTTGTAAGATCAGAACTTTTTTGCATTCAGTCATTTTGTGGCAGTTTCTTGTACATTTCTGGAGAAACAGTTCTCAGCCACAAGCTTCAGATGTTGGAATGGCTTTAGGTCTCTTTCTGAATCACTTTCCTTGCAGGCATAATCACATTTTGATTTTCCGTGGCTTCATGTACAGTGGAGCACTAAGAAACATTCTGTGTGGCCTGGGGATATACTTCAGAATGGTTTAGCAGAAAAAAAATACCCTAAATCTCTGAAGCCCCAGTCAAGACTGCTGTTACTGGAAATCTGTTATCCTAGCCAGGCTCCCAACAAAGGAGAGAATTTTGTTTGTGTACCTGGACATTTGATGGCCTGGCAATAAGAAGATATTCTTGGGACTGCTTTAGGATATCACCTTTTCAATCTAAAGCAATTGGATATGGGATTGCCAATTAATAGCCGGTAGTCAGCTTAAGTATTTCCCTGTAGGAGGAGATTGCTTTCTCACTGACATTTTTTCCCTGTTACCTGAACTCATCTCAGGGGAGCACCTTACTCTGTCCTAGAGAGATGCCTCTCTTGCTGTCCTGTGCTGCACGCAAGAGTTGGCAATAGATTTTCCTTTTTATTGCCATAAGCAATAGTCTCCATGTCAGTTATATTTACCAGAAGCTACAGTTGTTGTTATCTTTTTTTACCCTGAGGATAGTTTGGTTGCTCTTGCAGGTTAGACCAGAGGTTTTTACCATGAGGAACCTTGTCCTTTCTGCATTGCTAAATGCCTAGGTCAGTGCTTCCCAACTAGATTTGACAACCTCAGATAGGGCCATACCACTTACAAGCGGGATCATAAGAACTTTGCAGTTGGAAAAGTTGCGGTCACAGTCCCACAAAGTCTGTGGTGGTTCTAGTGTGCTCAACAGTTTGGAACCAAAGGTCTGATCTAACTGAACCTTTGATTTCTGTCTTTCTGTTAGCTCAGTGTAAACTCACCATCTGTGTATTAAGAGTTACAGATTTTGTTTTTTGGCACATGCCATTTTTGTACGTATATTTTTGGATGCAATAAAATCATAAGTTAACATGGTCCACCAGGACATCTGTCTCGGCAATCAGCTAAGCATCTGGTCAGTCTTTTCAGAGGGTTCATTTCTCATCAGAAATATGCATCTGTTTGTGGTTTCCTCTTTCTCTTTTCCATGATTTTTTAGGGTTAATGTAAAGTATCCATTATGCAGATCAATTCAGTGACTGGTTTTCTGCTTCAGTTCTGTTTCCCTGTTCCTGTAGAAGAAAAATCTCATGTTTGTTGTTACTTATTATTTCACATAAAGCAAATCTTTCCCATCTGTGTGTGTTTTATTAATGTTTCTTCCATCTGCCTACAGTGAAAATCTGATGTATAATGGAGGAGTGGTGGGGAACTGGAGCATTACTTTACAATAATTCTGTTTGTCTTAGAGCTTATTCTCTCTTCTCCATCTTTGCCACCCACTGTCTGTGTCCTTTTCATAGTAGGTGATAATTTCTATTATCTGGTGGTTAGTATTGCTTGTTGAGTTATATAAAAGTGTTCCTGACAAGTGGAGATATAATGCTTATTCTATGAGTTTACTGTGCAAAGTGACAGAGTAAGTACTGATGCATCAATAGTAATGTTCCTTTTATCACTTAAAAACAAATGTGCTACTCTTTGATATAACAAAATAAAAACATTTTTAAAGGGCTGTTCAGTGGTTCTAATAATTTTTTCCTTCATTCTTGCAGGAGAATTCAAACCTACTTGATTCTGTGCTGTACCTCAGTTTTCTGCTGAATATAGTTACAATAATTCTCTGAGTTTATTGTTCAGAAAATTGCCAATTCAATCCTAATAGTGTGCTGATTTTTTTTATTCCGTTCAGACAGGGAAAATTTAGAGGAAATAAAAAACTCATTAAATAGGCAATTAAATTAATGGCAGAAATGGCAAAACTGTGTAAATGTGCTAGGTTCACTGTGGGGGATAATTGTGATTACCGATCCAGTATTGAAAAACAGGGATGAACAGTAGCACCTATTGAGAGTCAGATAGTTTGGGAATAAAAAGTATGTTTACTATAAGTTTTAGTCTGTTGATAGTATTGTTTCTTCTACCCGCGTACTGTCTGGCATTAACACCTGTCCGCCTTTGCATATTTTGTGTCATTGGATTTTATCTTCACTAAATTACTTTAAAAGTGACCAATTTACAAGCACAGGTTAAATTTCCACCTTCTCTTATACCTACCATGCAGAACTTGCCCCACTGCCTTCTAGTGAAAAAATAGCTTTGTAAAAATCATAACCATGTTCAGCAGAAGCACTGCCAGCTCCCCAGTATCTGAATTTTACCTCTTCTTTTTGCTTTGGGAGTAAACTCCATCACAGCTTTTTCTTCCTCTTTGAAATTACATGAAGGGGTGGGCTCACAACAATGGTTTACCCAGTATCTTCTGAATTTTTTACTGTTCCTGAGTTTTAAAATTTTGAATTCAACCAGTTCAGATTTGTTTCATGTCCCCTCTTCATCCACCTGATAGCACTGATGACGTTGCAATGGGAAATATATGGGACATAATAATAGCTGTTTTTCACCTTTTTCCAAAGCCCGCAAGCAGTTTCCCTTCTGTGGAAAGAATAAAAGTAGGCAACATTTATTCTGTTGTCATGTCATAAGGTAGCAAAAAGTGGGAATAATGAAGCCCAACACTGCACATACAGTTAGTTGCTTTAGAAATGACAGGAAAAATGCGTATTCTGCAACAGCAATATTTCATTATCAATAGACGCCGTGGGCGCATCCAGACGAGTACACGTGTGGTATGCGGCGCTGCAGACCTGTCTGCAGTGCTGCAATCCGTATGCACCATGCATAGACATCCCAGTGTCAAAAAATGGGGCAGTGCAGGAACATTACCTGGGGACAAATAGCAGTGGCACAACTATGTGCCATTGCTGTTTATCCCCAGGGAAATGCATGTGTGCGCTCATTTGGACATACCCCTTGTGTCACATTTTGGTTTATCCAGTAATTGAAAAACTCAGGTCTTTTTTCCAGACTTAATTATCATTGTATGGATGACATTCATAAACTCTTTATTTTATTTATTTATGTATTTATTTGCATCCATGTTTAAGGATTTGGTATATTGAAATAGTCGTATATTTAGGAAACAGCAGTGACTGAACAATTTTGTAGACAGGAATGAGAGAAGCCCTTTTATAGGTCTGCTTCCATGAGGTAGAAAGGTATTATTGACCTAATAAAGCGCAAAATAAAAGTAAAAAATCTTTCTTTATGAGTGGACTCTAACTAAACATACTCTACAAAACTCTGGACCAGTGCATAAAAGGATAATGGCCATTATAATTTTCTTTTAACTTGCAGCCCAAATAGTGTAAAAATGAATTCTACAGTGATTCCAGTTTTCTTGTGGAGGATAACATTTTTTCCTAATGCTGGTAACTGTTGTAAAGTTCAGTCTTAAAATTATAGTGTTCTGATACCTTCTTACTTTTTTCTTTCTTTCTTGTCACAACTGTAACATAATTTTTAGCAGCCACCATATTAAGACATTTAAAATCAGGGACTAGGGCCAGCCACTTTTGTAATATTAACTGAAAATTTGGCCTAGTCCAGTATTAATCTAATGCTTCAGTGAATACTAGCCTTTAAGTATATTGCTAATGTATAATTAGATACAGGAATGAAAATAAAAGCGTAGAGATTCAAGAAGAAGGTGGAAAATCTACATTGGTCCAGGACTTGAGTAAACTAAATGTGCCCTGCCCTGCCCTGCTCTGCCCTATTTTTCTGCAGTCTACTCTTTTAATTTCTGATGCCTTGTGGCTCCTCCTGATCTTGGAAACAGAAGCTGTTTGCGATATTGACATTCCTGTGAGATTCCAGTGGCCATTCCTGTTTTGTAGGGCATGGGGCCCCATACAAGATAACTTCTTTAAATGGAGACTGTCAGTCTGGACATTACACTTCTCGCTGACATTCTGCTGTTATGCAAACAGCTTATAAAATCACCCTACAAAGTTTGGAGCAAACATTTGTATTTTTGACTGGAGTTGATGTACCACGAGGTTCATTGTTTGTGTCTTAGTAGTGGGATTATTGGCATCTATTTTTGTTTTACAGATCTTTCAGAAAGAACAGAGGAAGAGGGAGCCACTTTCTATTTAGGAACATCTGATTGTGAAATTCCAATTGCAGCAGGACAACATATAGTAAAACGCAACATGCACTTCCCTTGTCTCCTCTTTCAACCCTTCTCTCCTTCTTTATCAGAGATGCAGGTGCTTTTCATTTGCCTTCCTTCTGTAACCTGTCCAGTGATTACATCCCATCCATCTTTCCCATTTCCATTTTTTTCTTATCCTTTTTCCTCACTCTGCCCTAACATCTCAATAATCTTCTGGATCTTTCAACTCTCAATAGAAGTGTGCTTTAATTTCTCTCAGTTCAGAATACCCAGGTTAGGAACTGCTCCTTTTCTCTTTCCTCTCTAATATTGAGATGAATATTGAACTTACTGTTCAGAGTTGCTGTTTGGAGTCCCTCTACTCTGGTTATATCTTAGATCTTTTCCAGTCTGGTTTAATTTGATTCTACTTCACTGAAACCACTCTGGCCAAAGTCTTTCTTCCTAGGCAGAGCTCTTTGTTCCAGTACAAGAAACAGTGTTCTGTCCTCAATGTATTTACTGCCTTGGAAAGTGGCCATGCTCCTCTGGACATCTCTCCCTTGACCTTCTGTAACTCTGTCCTCTTCTTGCTCTTTCATCCCTTCAGTGACTCCTTTAGAGGATCCTTCAAGTTTGAGTGGATATGCCACAGGACACTCCTTAGTCCAGGGATGGGCAATTATTTTGGCTGGAGGGCAGCTTTAATGTGTTTTGGTGAGCTGTCGAGGGCTGCAAAGGTAGTATGGCCCCTTGATAGGTGCCTCGCTCTCTGGTCTCCATCTTGGGATCAGAAGTCCTGCCCCTTGCCCCCAAAAGTACTCCTTTTGGGAAGGGGGTTTGCCATCTTGGAACTGGAAAAAGTCTCCAAATTATATACTAAAAATCAAACATCTACAATATCATATTTTAATTTTATTTTTTTAAAAATTTGTCTTGATTTGTGTATGTTTGTGCTGTGTATATAGAGGTGATTGCATAATAGCTGAAAATGAAGTATTACCCTTGTATATTGTTGCGGGGAGGGGTGTGGGGGTATGTGTGAGTGGGTATGGGGTTTGGGGGAGCTATGGGTGTGTGTGTATGGGTGTGTATGTATGTGAGGTGTGGGGCAGGGTGTGAGTGCGGATGTGTGTAAGGGCTTGGGGTATGGGGTAGGTGGGTGAGTATGGGGTTTGCGGGGGGCTGTGGGTATGGGGTTTGTGGGGCTGTGTGTTTGCATGGATATGTGGGTGGGTATGGGGCTTCTGGAATGTATGGGTATGTGGGGGAGTTGTGGGGTGTGTGGAGGAGGGACGGTGCCTGGGGGAGTGTGTGTGCAGGGGGTGCGGGTGCATGTCTATGATGTGGGGGGGGGGGAGTCTTACAAACAACCTTTCCCCATTGGCCACCGCTCCTCCCCCCAATAGCAGCAGCCG